CCTCCCGCGGTAAGGACGGGGCTCCTGCCTGCCTGTCCCCCTGCCTTCCTCTGTGCCTCCTTGCCTTCCTGCCTTTCTCTGCCCTCCTGCCTTCTTCTGTGCCTCCCTGCTTTCCTCCCTGCCTGCCTACCTCCCTGTCCTCCTGTCTTCCTCTGTGCCTTCTTGCCTTCCTCTTGCCTGTCTGCCTGTCCCCCTGCCTTCCTGCTTTCCTCCCTGCCTGCCTGCCTTCCTCCCTGCCTTCCTTCTCTTTGCTTTCTGCCCTGCCTTCCTGCCTGCTTGTCTGCTTGCCTGCCTTCCTTTCTGCCTTCCTGCCTGCCTTCCTTCATGTCTTCCTGCCTCCCTGCCTCTCTGCCTTCGTTCCTGCCTCCCTGCCTGTCTTCCTGCCTGCTCTCCTCACTCCCTGCCTGCCTCCCTGCCTGTCTTCCTTTCTGCCTTTCTGCCTTTCTGCCTGCTTTCCTCCCTCACTCCCTCCCTGCCTCTCTGCCTTCCTGCTTACTTTCCTCCCTCCCTGCCTGCTTTCCTCCCTCCCTTATACTTCCTTATGCCTCCCTTATACTGAAATAAAGACTTGTATTCACTTGAGCCTTCTAAGAATCGCCAGCACGTGTCATAATGCACTGATATGTCTAATTCCTGGGAATTCACACTTTTTTTTTTCAGAGAAACGTGCATTTCTGTGGTTTAAACTCAAAATTGAGGTTGGGAATGTGATCGTTTCGATCTGGGAACTTCCCATGTGAACATAAGTAGAATTTCGCTGTTTTAGTTGTGTACAAGATGTGTCTGAAACACCCTCATTCTTTTTTTGTGCTAACTTTGTCAGTCCAATGAGTAAAAAAAAAGAAAAAAACAAAAAAAAGAGCCATGGTAATTCCCCTGTTGTGAGATTACTTGTAAGATGTACGTCATTCAAAGTGTCTTTGATAGTAAACACATTTGAATACTGTGGTTGACTTTTTATATATATATATATATAAATATTTATGTATATATTAATATATATATATATATATAAATATTTATGTATATATTAAAAAACACGTTAAAAAAACGTTAGTGTCAAGTATGTCTAAACTGGAAAAGCCTTGCAACATGGAGTTGCTAGAAAGCATTTGAAACTCACTTGATATATATCTGAACTACTGCAGGGCTTGTAGTGCTTTATTATGAAATAGTTCATTTGAAATGGTTTTTTTTTCTGTTTTTTCCCCAATTTTAGGTAACAGTGAATATTACAAGTGGGAGCTTGGACGAAATTTCAAGGCCTGCATCTATCTCAAGACCTAATTGTAGATCTTTAAATACATCTACATCTATGGAGTTATTAACACCAGAACCATGTTTGCAAAAGGTAATGTTTCTCTCCTTCAGCAGGTTGAAACCTCCATGCCTAATTCTTCATAGTAGAATGCTAAAGAGCTTTTCTTATTTTTTTCTTTTTTTTTCTTTTTCTTTTTTAGTTTCATATATACCCTAGCCTGGCAATCCCAAATCTTACAGTCTGGGAAATGATGATCTTGAGAATCAATGTGAAATCTAAGAAAGATAGCCCTTTCTTAGTATTAGTATCAGGCCTGGAAGTGGTTCTTTTATTTAAGAAGTACACTGCATTATTGTACAGAATTGTTGCTGTGCTTTGTGATAGCATGTGGGTATTCTGGTTATCTTCTTCACCCAAAGCATCCTTGCTTTGGGTGAAGAATTCATGGTGGCAATAATTTAATTTCCTAGATTGATTCACCTGACAGTTTGCCTGATGGTTATCGGAGAGGCAGTCTAGAAGATTGCTGTCCAGCAGAAAACAAAGGTGATGACAGAGATAAATCTGAAGTTGAGGAACTAAGAACAGATCAGCAAATAGTGGCAAGTACGACCACATCTCTTCAGAAGTGCCTGTGGAATCCCGATGAGTTGTCAGGTGGGAATGGCTAAAACTTTCTTGTGTTGTGACTAGACTAAATATCAAGTTTTTATATTTTGGGTAAAATTCTACTGGTGAAGGAAATAGAGGTTGCAAATAGGCAAGTTTCTGGAAAAGAAGATGTCAAAATCCATACCTTCACTTCACTTCACTATTTGAAATCTACCTTTGAAAGAAGTGTGTTATTACTGTCAGTACAGTAGAGTAAATGTCTTGTGGCTTCATAAGCTGGGTTTACAAGATCAGAGGAATCCATCTGCGTGTGTTCCATGGAATCATGTTAGAAAGTGTTTTCATTAAGGTGTTTTTATCAAACTTTTCAGATAGTTTCAGATAATGGTCCATCTGTCCAAAAACTTGGAATTTATGATTATAAGTTACAGTATGTAACAACTGAACAATGTTAATACTAATAAAATACTTTAAACATAAGTATGCAGTGTATAACTTTAATTGAAGCACTTGCAGAAGTGTTTCATGGCATTCTTCTGTCATTCTATAAAAGGTAATGGATTAATGTTCTGGGGTGTCAGACTGTTTACAAACAGAGATGCAAAGGCCAGTAAGTGAAGCAGATGTTTGGATACTGTCTTGAAATTCAGTTAAGATTTCATGACAGAATTGGGGTAAAAAGAAATCCCTTGATTCCTGCTCCTGTTTTTAGCATGAGTTCTGGCGTACTAGTACATACTATTTTTTAAACTAATCCACTGCAAGGTCTCTGTGGTGATGCCTAATTGACAAAAATGTGTATGGTTCATTGTGAAAGGCTTTTCCCTGTGTTTTTCAGGATGTAGCTCTATTTCAGATTCTGGAGATGAAAGCACTGAAACACAGATGTTGAAGTTCTTTGAACCTTCCCCAGGACAACGAAGTAAGGCAAAATCAGATAGTATCTTTCAGGTGTATAAAATGAACAGTGTAGCAAAACCTTTTCCTTTTCTTATTAATGCTTCTAAGAGAGTTTGTAATGGTCATGTATTTGTGTGTCTATTATATAGTTAGAAAAGAATACTGCTGTATGTGAATTGTGCTATTCAAGAGGTATTGGGTGAATTCTTTATTTAGAGATTGCTTTATTAATGGATATTCATTTCTTAAATGCTATAATAGAATTTAAGTTTTCCATAGATTCTATCAGTCTAATAAGGCAGAATTCAGTGGTTATCCTATCTAGTGCAGCAATGCTGGTCACCAAACGTGGTATTAATATCTACAGAACAGAAATTGGGTAGAACTCAACCTAAAGCTTCACTCAGTAGTTTAAAGTTTATATCAGTCTGCTGAGTTCAGGCCAGTGCTCTTTTTTTTACCATCTATCCTTGGGTCCATCTGTCCTCTGTAGCTCATTTAAATTTTTATAGCTGTCCCCTTGTTGTATCCCTCATCTTGTAGACCAATGCATCACAGTAAATTCTTGGATAAATGGCCATGTAAAGCATTTGACTTCCAAAGATTAGAAAATGAAAGAGTGTTGCAGGACTCCAAAATTTGTAAATCTGTGGGATTAGGGATAGTGCTACAAGTGTTTCCTCTACTCCTAATATGGAAGTCATAAACGAGGACAGAGCATGAAGATGCTAAAGGAAGGGGAAAAGCTAAAAGTTATAATTATAATCTGTATATTTAGGAAAAAAAAAAAAGGAGACAACATAGAAATCTACTTTAATTAAGTTAGGGTAGTTTCCATCATGTTTCACTGTTTTTCAAGTTTTTAGAACCAGTATCAGAATCTGGTTTGGCTCAGATACAAGACTGAAAACTTCCCTAATATTTAAAGGCAGAGATATTACAGAGTCCCTCTTAACCCCAGAATTATTAATTTCAAAATATATTCTACTATTCGGGCTGAAAAGATTATTTTACATTTTTAAAGTAAATGATTTTTGCTGATACTGTGGAGATATTGTCAATCTTCCATTATAAATTTGAATCAAATTGCTTGCCCAAAATAGGTGACTTTTCCTCTTCCACACCTCTATATCCAACTGCTACAGCTCAGAGTTTGATTCAGCATTCCATTGCAAAGACTTCCCTATTTTTCCCTGCTACAAACAGGTTTAGAAATTAACATATGTTTAAGAATGTTTTACTCTTTTCAATGGGTTGAATTCAATTACTTGAACTGCTTTTTAGTGTTTGTTTTTTTGACATGCTTCAAGCTCACATTAATTTAAAATATATTCTCCAGCAGACTCTTCTGACTTGGAATATTCTGAAGATGCAGTTACAAATGCTCAGATTCAAGCAGCTATAAAGAAAATGAATAAACTTGACACAATACTTGAAGAACAGCATTTTAAGGAAAAAGTAGTTAAAAAGCAAGGCAGAGAAATGAGGGCAATGCTCTGGGAAGAACTTCAGGTTAGAAGTGTTCTGCTTATTTTGTGATTGATATATCTTAGAGTACTGTCTTACAGAATCATCGTATTTCACAGAAGCCTTATTATTAAATACCTCACAGTTGGCAAACTAAAATTAAGAAATAGATCTTAAAAAGTAAGAATGGATAGTTTTTAATACATATTGTCTGGTCAAGGAAAGAAGAACATGGTCCTTAAAAATTGGTAAGATAAATTGCCAAATATGCAGCTGCCTGGGTGTAGTTTACTAGCTTGAATTCACTCCTCGCAGGGAAGGTGTGTCAAGAGGTAATGTCTGTGAAGCCAAGCTGAAAGGCATTTATTCTGCTCAAGTGGGATCCTTCTTAGGCCCAGCTATTTCAGTGCTGTCTGTTGTTGAAGAAATTAGAGATGCTATCTGAAGAAGGCATAAGAATGCTGCAGCACAAATTCCTTTACGTTATCTCTGTCTTGGTCTCTAGCAGTTAAATGCCTTGAAACAAGTTAGTATTTCCTCTGTTTTACATGAATAGAAAGGTGAGTTGCTAAAAGACATGATTAGTTTGACTGCATTTCATAATTTCATTGGATTTGGGTTTGAAGCCACATAGACATTACAGAACTTCTTTGTCTGGTGAAGTGGGTCTCCACATAAAAGACAATATATAACAGAGGCTTTAAAGTTTCACCATACTTCTGTAGTAATTTCAGGAGATATTCAGATACCCTCAAGAAGAAAATAAACTGAGAAGAGTAATTTTTAATAGGGTCTGAAGTTCATTAGATCTGAGAAGCAGACAATGTATTTCACTTGAAAAATTTACTTTAAATACATGAATGTATCTATACATACACAGTTTATTTCTTTTGAATAGTCTATCAGAAGCATAGGAAGCCATGAGGAGGTGGAAAACACAAACCAGTTTTTAGCTTTGTTCTCATCATGGCGTGATACAGCTGGTAAGTAAAGAGAAAAAGAATTGTGGTACATCCTATCTTTTTTTTTTTTTTGGGAGAGAGAATAAGGATTTGAGGTTTGAATGGTTATTCCTGAGAAAAAAATCTCAGTTTGAATGTTGGAAGTACATGAATAATAATAGCAGCAGTGTGTAGTTAAAATATTTCTACAAAACTTACTATTTACAATGTAACCTGCTTTTATTTCTATGCTAAAGTTCGGGTTACTAAGGGAAGAAAACAATTTGATATGGGTGATGTTTAGACAGCCTCCAGTAGATGTCAGGATATATTAAAATAACAGTAGACAAGGAAGACTATATGACTGCTAACTCCTTTATTTGAAAAGTATCTCCTGTAGATATCATGTGCATCCTGTGGTTTCTGTTGTACTGCACTGACAAAAGTGCATAGTATAGATTTATAGTTTTCCTCCAGCTTGATCTTTATCTTTTCTATATCATGCTAGTGCCTTACTTTTCAGGTCTTATTTATTTAATTAAACAAATGTCTTGCTGGTTGCCCTGGTTGATACTGAAATGAAATACATTTCATATATTTTGCTTTTCAGTACTTGAATTTGACAGAGCTTTATTAAGAGCTTTATATTTATTATATAAATTATATATGAGAGCTGTTATAGCTTTTAATGGAGCTGTGAAATCAAGCACAAGTTTGGGTACAAAATCATTAATAACTGAAGTTATTATTAAGTGTATTTCAGGCACAACAACACCTTCTGACACACTCACAGCAGAAATGTAAATCAGGAGTTAATTAAACAGCCCTAAATTCCTTACCCCATGCTCTGTTTTACAAAATAATTTCTTCAGTTGAGTCCATTACACTTCATTATTACTGCTTATTGTATGTTTTTTTCATTGTGAAAATCACATGTGATTGATATGGTTCTTTGCAATATGAGTCCTTTTCTTAAGTGCTAAGTGTATAGACTGCAACTTACTGCTCTAACTTATATTTCCAGCTGACACATATGAACACTTCAATTGATTTTTTTTTTTTTTTTGAGTAACTGAAACAACTAAGATGCTTGAACACTTTTTCTAGACTATGCCCTTGACCTAAGCTGCTTGGAAGTCCAATAATTCGTGCACAGGCAGACACCAGCTGTGAAAACCTGGATGCTTTATCCTCATTCAATGTTTTAGATGTCTTGCCACATGGTGTCTGCAGAGGCATTTGAACTTTAGGCCCTTAGGCTATATCTTTGAGAATGTGATGAATTGTCTTCTATGGGCAGTGGTTGTTAAGAACACAGCCATAAGAAACAGCATACATATGACTTACACTTTACACTTTCCCCTTTCTTTATTTCTTGAGAAATACAGTGCTTATGTCATTTATCCAAGTGAATTTCTTTACTGTCCAAGTGTGAGGTCTTATAGTATGATACACGTGATTCTAGATCTTCTTTAAATATGTTTCAGTTAAATTTTACTGGAAAAAAATCCTTACAGATCCCTCCCGTGCTAAAGAAGATGAAATATCTACTTCAGTATTTCCCACATACATGAATCCTGAAGATTATGATTGCCATAAAGACCAAGAAAACCAGGGTAAGCTTTATTAATGGCAGAGTTTGTATTTTTAGAAATGGCAAAATAACATGTACAGTGAGTGGGTAATGAAGACAGCCTCTGTGGCAAGGCCAGTGAAATGGGAAAAAGCAAGGTTACTTACTGGAACAGTGGCAGTTCTTATCCTTTTTGCAAATGAAAGAAGAGAACAGCAAACCATCTAGAAATGACAAGTGGTGCTGAATTTAACTGCAACTGTTCTGTGGTTTTTTGGGGTTTTTTTCAGCAGAAATTGTATGGATTTGTGTCAAACATAAATCTTCAGACAACTTATTTTATATTTTGCTATGCTGATTACTGTAAAGTCTGCATTGCTTTTATGAAATAAGTACTTTCTGGCAAAACTCGAACACCTGCTGATTCTTTTAGACACTATGTGTTATCATGCACTGCGTAGACATTTCAAATGCTGTTAGCAGTGTAGTGTGTCCAACATGTCAAAATAAATGGAATTGTGCTCATATACCTCTATTCTTTCCCTATTTGAAATTCAAATTTGTGTGGTTAGTAACTTTTCACATGTGTTGTGATATAAGAGTAATAGCTTCAACTGCCAATGCTATCAGCTGCAATTGTTAATTTGTTTGTCAACTGCCATTCTATGTAAACAGAAGGAATCTATCTTCCTGGTGACTGGCTAAGTGCATTCCTCAAGGCTGAAGCATCAATGGCAGCGATATGGCTGCAGTTGTAGAATATGACTGCATGTTTTAATTTTTAAGCATGGAACTCAGCTCCTTTATAATTGTATCACTCGTCTTAGTTCCGCAGTGTGTGACCTTAACTTTGTGGGCTGGAGCTTTTAATTTCTCTTTCACCATGTGTTTTTATTCCTCCCTTGAAATAAATCTTGACCCTTAGCTCTCTTCTTCAAAATTTCTGAGTTGTGCTGAAGTGCCCTTGAATAACAATGGCAGGTTTCATTACCAGTATTCAGTACAGCACTGACTTCTGCAGCTTCCAGTACAGGCATGGTTGAGAGTTGCTGTCACTTGCTCTATTTTGAGATGTTCTGCACGTTCCTTCTTTGGGAATGCATGAAGTAGAGATCGCTTACAGCTTGTGAGCAATATATTGCTTTAAATGACTTTTACTATTTCTGCTGGAGGCTTTTGATGTGGTGTCTGAATAGCTAAGAATTACTGTTTTGATTGCTTTTGGATTTCTGTGTCACAGCTGTTATAAAGGCAGACCCTGAGCAAGAGTAGCTTGTGAAGAAGAATGTACACACTAGTTTTATGCTATTACTTCATCAGTCTTATCAAGATTTTTGCCAAATATTTGAAATTTGTGCCAAATCTACCAAAACACATATGGAAAATTTGTTTAGCTGCAATTTCTCTTTTAATTACCCATGACAGTCTTCATTGTATTTGTCTCAGCGATCCATGTCTGTCCCTTCTGTTCTTCGATGTTCTGAGATGTTCTGTATGATAGGTCCTTCTCAAAAATACTATTCTACAGTCAAGGGAAAGACATAGCTTAAAAGTCATGTATATTTTGTGTGTTATGTTGATGTTTGGTGTGTTCTGCTCATTTCAAGACTCAACCTGTCATATTTATGTTGATTGTTAAGTGCCTATATGATCCTTTTCCTCGGCACATGATGTTGCCTGGTAATGGTGAAGAAAGCTCAGGATGCTTTCAGAAAACAGTTGTGCATTTGAACTATGAGGAGAATTCTTGGTCACATTCAACACCTCAGTCCTTAAGGGTTTGTGTGTAAAGCATGCAGGAAATTTATTTCATATCTTTGGGAGTTTGCTTTCATTCTATTCACTCTGAAAAAGAGTTATTTCCCTATAGCTTGTCTTCAAATATCTAACATGTTAAATTCTTTTTTTATAGGGAAATAACCCACCCATTTTTCAAATTTCTGCTTTCCAGAAAAGGAAGAAGTACCATGCCTGCTTTTGAAGTAGTTCTTGAGATTTAGAAGTTGACTGTATTTGCTTAGACTTGCTATTTAATGTGACAAATATTTGCTGTTCATAAAGGAATTGTTATTTAAGCATAGTAAAAGTCTCTAAAAAACAGAATCATACCCCTTTTTTTGTCATGGATAGAAACCTATTGGTATTAGAATATCATGTGTCTGTTTAATAGATTTACAGCTCTATGATGAGTTTTATTTTTTAACAAAATTTGTTTTATAAACTGTGTTATAATAATATCAACGATATCATCTGTTTTTCAACTGTTTTATTTAGAAAAATGTACTTGATATGTCTCCAGATAGTTCTGTGGTTTTCAAAAAAATTATTGTCTGGTTTTGTAATGATGAGAAAGCTGCAATGATGAGAGGGTTTGAAGGAATGCTGTGGCTTTTAAGGCCACCATGTTTAACATTTTTGAGGTCAGAAATCCAAAAGTATTTTAGCCTTTGTAACATTGAGTGATCTCATATAATAAAAAGTTGAAAATGAAATTAGATTTTGGCAGTAGTATGTTTTAAATATAATGATGTTATTTACACAAATAATGAGAACATAATACAAAAAGTTTGTCTACTGACTCTATATGTTCGCTAATGATTTGAATGGGATTGATGTTATTACAGTTCTTGTTGAATCACAGTAGGAATGATTATAATGTAACAACTTTTCTTCCTCAAACATCAGATTACTCAAGTGAATTAAAAACTGAAAAAACAGCAGAAAAAACGCATAGCAAAAATAAAACCAGCCAGCATTTCATTAAAAAGAACATTGAGGTAAGCATTAAAGCATAAAACCAATAACATTTTTTAAAATGTTAGCTAGAAATTAGTCTAGAAGTACTTTTGAAGATAGTTTTCTTTTAAAATCAGGAACTTTTGAAGCTAATTAGGCATAAATAAAAAAATTACCTTTCTTAAAACTGCTGTTTATTGCAGAGTACTGTATTAGGCAGTTCTCAGTTTGGATGCTCATATTGGTTAGAGTGATACTGCTTCTATGCATTTGTTAAAGAGTACTGGAAACTGAATTGTTGTGTTTGTGTTTGGACATAGATTTTTTTTAAGGACAACATCCTAAGACTTTTAAAAAATTTATTTACTGTTAAGTTAAAGGAAAATGTCCTGATGCATAAATAAGGGATAGATATACAGGTTGTTTGTGTGTATAGCTTGGACAGGACTAGTCTTTGTGAGAAAAGACATCCCTTGATTTTCCTGCTTTTTTTTTTCCTGTGAGGACCTAGTAGGTATCTTTCATCCAATGAAAAATATTTGCTCTCCCTCTATGTCAAAGACTAAGATAAGATTATAAATTTATTGTATGTAGACTGCTTTATTATTCTGTCAGAGTGATAACTTGTATTATGGAAATAAACAAGATTTGGCTGTTAATTTCATAGAGTTTAAAAACATTGTTTTGGAGGTGTTTGAATTAGTGGATTTCTAAAGTATGGGTTTTTTTTTTTCTTTTTGTAAATATTTCAGCTAGCAAAGGATTCAGGAAACCAATTTGTTATGCTTGAGGGAGAAAGGAAAAGATTAACTGAACTATTGAAAGATACAGAAGATGGGACTGAATTGCAAGATCTTGAGGTATGACAAATTTAATCTGTACTAATCTGTTGTATTTGGCTTATTTTTACAGTAAATCTAAATTTGATCTTAGCCCTACCATGAAGTACCCTACTGAGATAAGAGAGAATAGATGGAGAAATCTTGTTGAATTTGTCTCCAAAAATGAATTCTCATTGGTTTCTTTGTTAATTTTACTAACAGCAGAACATAAAAGAAAAGTTAGGCACAGGAGGAAAGAACCTTAGAACTAACTATACTTTGAGAGAATTACCTGTTTTTTTTGCATAAAATGTGAAGTTGTGGAGTATCAATCTGAGTGGTTAGTGCTCTAGTCTCAGGGAGAAAGTCCAGCAACTACATGCAAAAAACTCCCTACAACAGTTTTTTGACAACTGATAAATGGCCTTCATAATACAGCAGTTGGGGAAATATACATTTATGAAGCTCGTGTGTCAATTTAGAAAGATAATGTGACATATTTCTGTGGCTTCCAACGCAGTCTGTCTTAAAAGTATATAAAGTCTGCTTAAGCATTAGACATCTGTGCTTTAACATAATATTGTTAAACAATGTACTGTCTGCATACTTCAGTGAATAGCAGGAGCTGAAGTGAGTAAAAATAATCCTCATGGAGAGTAATGAAGAGTATTTGATTGTCTCGTCAGTCACTGTTTCTAGGAGGTAGTCTTCAGTTTGATAAATGTCATCATGAAGATGTTTTAAATAACCTTCTGTTATTTTATTATTCTTTATGTTAGTAAACATAGCTTTCTCACCTAGGGAATAGTGGCTTTTTTTATATTTTACTGATTGCAAAAGTATTCTCTCAAAATGTGTAGTTACTAGGTTTTCTTTCTCTTAAAGCTAGTGTCTGTCATAGAATTTCGACGCATTTATGCAGAGTAGCTAATGCAAATTCCAACTAACAACATGTACATTTTTTGGATCAGTTCTCAAGGCCTCAGAGCAATGGAAAAGAGTCACATTTGTCCACATTTTGTATTTGGCACATGTCACTATCATGTTCTCATGTATCTATAGAGACTTTGCAGTTAATGTTAGATATGAAGCAGATCATCTCACAGGACATTTTGCTGTATGTTCTTGATAGCATGGACAAGAATGGTAGTTTGTGGGTTACTCTAGTCTGTACTAGATCATTTCTTTACAGAATAAAAGCTCCTAATTCTCCTATCAAAATAAAGAATGGATAATTGTTACTTAAACCTGTCTAGTCTAGTGATGGATTCTTCCTCTTCCACATTTGAATTTTATTATGGGTGAGGCATTTTCTGTGCCTACTTCATAACAAAAATTGTGAGGAAATTATCAGTTTATGAGTAATCTAGACAATTTCAAGCTGGCCCAGGTAACTACCCAGCTGATGGCCTCTTTAATCTTATTTTATTCTGACTTTTATAAAGCTGGTGCATTCACATTGGCTGAAGTAATATTTTGGAGGCTGTCAATCATGGCAGATCTGGTTATGCTGTATGAATTTCTCTGTATGGTGTAATGTGGATTAAATAACTTCATTTGACTTGTACTACTATAAATGCCAAGTATCCAAACGGCACTTCTCACTTTTTGGAAGAATGTGTTATGAACGTTTAAAATATTTTAGAAGTACACATATTCATGCTGCTCTAATTGTCGAAGCTGAAGCTGCAGGGGTACAATTTGTTTCAGATGTTCCACAGAAAGCACTGACTGTGCTGTTATGAAAGTATTGTTCTGAGTTAACACACAGGAAACATTGACAGGACAGAAGCTTATTTTCCAAGGAAAGCTATCTTGAAAATACAAAAGAGAATGTGTGAGTCCATTTCATCCTGGAGTAAAATGAGTACTGGGGTAATTTGGATATTTGGACTATGAGATCCTGAGCTGTACAGACACTGAGCTGGAGCTAATGAGCCCAGTTACATCTTACCAGACTCCTGTAGAGTAATTTCTATGTTTTTGCACTGTGATCTTCATTCTCTGATTAGGAGGGGGTGGTTAACATGACACAAATGTAGTACCATGCTGGATACTTACATTTTGGTGGTCACTGTCTTACCTGAACAGATGTTCCCACAAAAGCTGGAAAGGATCTAAGACATTGGTGAGTGGCTATTTTGGAGTCAGCTCAGGTCTGGTCAGGCTCAATATGTCTCATCATATTTTTATGAGAAAGCATTAGAGCTGATTTTGTTTCACAAAAAGGATGTCTCTCTCTTAACTATCTTTTTGTCTTTCTTTTCCTTTTTTTTTTCTTTTTTGCATTTATTATGAAGATAATTTATGACAGGTGTTTGGGGTATGCTTATTTTTTCTTTTTGCAGCTAGTGTGCTTTAGGGTAATGGGGATGAACCACAAATGACCTCATAGCAGTGGTATTGTAATTGGAAGCTGATATTTCCTCCTCTTGTATGGATGCAATTGCTTGAATAGCCAGAGGACTAATCTGGAAGCTGGAAACAAATGGTGGACATGAATTTCTTGCAAGACAGATGTTAGAGTCTTGGAGCAAGGTCCCATTCTGGTAGGAAAAAGAAAGGAAACCAGCAATACTCTCATGTTCTTCCACACATCCTTGCTTTTCTAAGGTCCTAGCTGGTGTTTCATTGTGGTCAGGACAGAGATGTAATCTGATACCCAGCAAATGGGGTTGTGCAGACTTGCTTCCCTGAGTGTGAGTCAGGGAGTGACAAGTTGCTGTGGAGAACCTGCATCTGTCTGTGGGTATGAGTTCCTCTGCTTAAGTGACCTAGCTCACTCATAATATGCATAATATGCAAAAAAGGAGTATATATTTATATGTGTTATTCAGGTGTTAACTGCTATCAAGAGGAAAAAGTCATGTAAATCATGATCAGGAAAAAACTCCCTGCTTTCTATCTCTCCCAGAGTTTCTGTGATAACATATAGGGGCTCTAGAAGGATGGCAGCTACTGATCTCAGAGCAGCTCCTTTGATTTCCTATGAATGCCTTGTTTTCTTCTTTGGTGTTACCTTGCAAGTGTCACATTACATCTCATACCCTCTAAGATTTGGCTCCTGAAGGTTTCTGCCATAGTATCAACATCTGCAGTTCATTCCAAGCCAAGTTTTGGTCAGGCTTTCTCACTTTTTGACTCCTTTATCAGATGCAAAGTGGTTGTCCATTTAAGTTGTTCCTTGGTTATATTTAAAAGCGTTGAATGTATGAATCTCTCTCCTTGTTCTGTCCATAGCTGCTCTTGAGTGTGCTAGGGACATGAATATTTGGGAGATTTTAGCTGTGTACTGAGATGGATGAAAATGTACATTTTATTATCAAGTATGGTTTATCTGAAAAATAAATACTCTTTTAAACTGCCCTTAAAGTCTTGTTTCCTTTGCGAATGAGGCTCAAGTATTTCCTGTACTTCCAACAGGAGAATGTAGCTGTCTGGCAGGCACCAGGAGAAGGGTACACACCTGAATTGACAGAAATTCATCTCCTGAATGAGATAGACAATAAGCTTCAACTGCTTCTTTCTGATGGAGAGTTTCCTGCTCTTTCCAGCTCTGGCTCAAAATGTCCAAGCCAGATGTATCAGGTAGGTTACAGATCAGAGCTCATCTGCAGATATTTTATTTGAAGTGTGTGTTGAGATCAATACCACATATGTCTGTATTTGTATCTTCTGCGTTTTTCTTTAGGATCCTTTATTTATTCATTAAGTCTAGGTGTTAAGGAATGAAGTGAGAAATTTTAGCTGTAGAAAACAATTGAAAAATAATTTGTTGCTATTTTGAGTCACATTTAGTTCGAGAACTGTCTTGTTTTTAACAGTTGTTGATTCCACAATTCCAAGATACTTCATGTTCAGAAATTGGTAACTCATACATTTTTAACTGCATGAGGGTGATTTTTCCTGCGTAGAAACATATTATCCATGATAGTTTATCTTTGGGAATTGAATTAGGTTTCTTCTTATCTCAGGATACTAAAAGTGCCTGTTTACTTATGATCTGAAGGGTAAGGCAATGACTGATAAGCAGTGTTAAAGACTGTAGAAGATAGGTTGAAATTGTATGTCCCTTGTTTTTAAAGGCCTTTGTCTTTTTGCCAGTAGTATTGAGATTTGAAGATTAAGAATCAAGGTCTCAGCCTTGAGAAATTATTGTTTGCATTTTGTACTTAGATGACTCCAATTTATCCCATGCCCTGGTACTGTTGCCTCTACTATTATGGGGTTTAAAATAAAAAAAACCCCGTAATTCTTATTTTGCATTTAATTGCACAAAGCTTATTTACGTCTGTAATATTTTCATTTTATGGCCAGAACTGATATATCAGAGAATATCTGTAAAAATGTTCATGCACAAAACTGTTTTCAGTTACCAGTGTTTGAGAATCATCTCTTTGAAAGGCTAAAATACCTGTGCGTTTGTTTTTCTTCTCCTTTTTTAAGGATGCTTTAATATAATTTTTTTAATTGTCTTCTTTCTGGATGTGAGGTTTTGTTTTACAAAACCAGTAAAAAAAAAAAAAAGTATTTTCTATAGCTCAGTTCCAGAGGAGTCACATTTTGCTGTTGATCATTTACCAGCTGGGATCTAATGTGTGAAAAAGCACCTCTCCCTCGCTGGTAATCACCTAACAAATGCAGGTGTTACCCTGGGCTAGCCAATGATCTCCTGATCAGTGTAGCAAGACATCAGCTTGAAGTTAATGTGACTTGTCTGTGATAATGAATACTCTGCTTGGAAATATTTATCTAAGTTATTGTTGTTGCTTCCTTTCAAGTAATAGCCCAGAAGCATTTGAATTGCATTTAGGTGTATGCTAATTAAAGAGTAACATATTATCTTTTTTTGAGTAATATTAAACCTAACAACCAAAAAGAGGTAGTTAATTTCTTGTTACCTTTCATTAGGGAAAAGCAGTTGCCTTTCAGTTTTGTTTTGCAGAATGTAAAAGGCTTTCAGGCATTGTCATTCTATGATTTTAATTTAGAATTAGTTTAGCATTGCATATTATGAAGCTGCACATTCTTCCAAGAATTGTGTTAGATATAGCTTTCAAAATGCAGACACTTAATCACTGTTTCCTCAGTGGGAGATGTCCTTTTTGTCACTGATGGATACTTTGACAGGATACAGGAACTATTCTCACTCTGAAATCTTTAATAATGGGCTTTAATTATCCTGCAATACCATAGCTGAGCAGTAACAGAGGAGCAGGCATGTTCATCTTTTTGTGCAAGGAGTCCAGCTGGATTAAGAATGCTTCTCCATTACTAGTGTTCTCTTTTACATGGAAATGTTTCTCATCAGAGCTGCATTTTTCTCTGAAATGTTTCTTTGCTCTGGTGCCAAATTAACAAAATATTTTGAAATGTTTCTGTCTTAATATTTTTTGGGAAGAATAAATTAAGTTGATTGTAATCCTGAAAGAAACAAGAAAATGATAGGCTAAAGAATATGAGAGTAAGACTGTGTGTGAAGAGTACAGTTACCAGCTTGAGAAACTACCTGGAAACTAAAGCAAATGAAGATGGTAAAGAAACAATAATATCTGTAGGCTTGGTTTTCTTAAAAGATAATTAATGTGTATTACTATGAGGAGTTCTTTCATAACTGATTGGGGTCTTTTTATCAGGAAAATATTCCCTTTTTCTATTATAGATGTGATTCCCTTTTCTATTATAGAAGTGGACCACAGTTAACAGTTTAAGACTAAATAAATACTCAAAATTCAGAAGATATGCTGATTTTTCAATTAATGAGCTCCTTGATAGCCTATGCTCTAAGCCTGTGCTTCGCCAAAACAGATGAATTTCACAGATGATATGTGTTTCAGAGCATGGTTAGAAGCAGGTTAATAAACTGATCAGCCAGTTTTATGCCTCAGGATGATTGTATGACACTAATATACTTCATTGGATGGGATTTTGTTATTATTTATTTATAAAATCTGGAGAAAAGGGAGTGCAACAAATAATTATAGATATTTCAAATACTGCATATTTCTCTTTGGCATTATGTTTGCTACAGCTTTGGCTCTTGATAAGTGTTTGTATTTTCCCATATGTAAAATGTTTTGTTTTCTACATATCTAAAAATATGGAATATGAAGTAACCTCAAGTGGACTTCTACTATGTACATGTCCTGTCTAATTGAAATATAACATATTCTGAAGTATGTGAAACATTGACAATAAAATGTTTTCCTTCATATAATACTTCATACATTTATCTAATGGTATCTTGAGCAGAATGTAGCAAGTGCGGAAAAGCCTTGATTTTGCTCATGTTGTGTGAGTTTCTATCAGTTACTTTTCAGGGATGAGATAGTACTTACTATACAGTAAGAACTACTTATGAGAAAGCAGCAGCTTAATGCTCCAGAGTGGTCAAATAGCAAATAGATTATTATGAATAATGTCAAAAGCAACACAGAATGAAGCAGAAAATATGATCGTTACATGAAAATTTACTGTCATTGTGGTACTGCAAACTATTACTGATTGTAAATATATATTAAAAAAAATTTACTGTATTAAAATAAGTTTATTTTCAGGAACTAAGTTTGATTTAAATGTCAGAACTCATAGATTTGATTGATGTTTAGAAAAAAGTTGTTTACAGATACACTTTTTTGTATATTGCAGCTGAGGAATTTCCTGTTGAGTGTTGAATTGTGAAGGTTGTTTTTCTTTCCAGTTAGGCAATTGCTACTTGGAATTATTTTCCTTGTGTGTCTATTAAAATTTCTTGAGCTGCTTTTGAAAGTAAGAATGAATAGAGTATTTTTTCATTCTATGCCTGCTCATGCCCCTCCCTTTGGGTTGAATTGATTATCAGGATGGGGAAATGTTTTTTGTTTCAGCTTTATTATCTCTGCTACTCTTGGATTTTTCTATAGAATCTATTGTTTGCAAGAGAGAGCTCTGTTTTTTTTCTGATTGCAACATGACTTTGCAGTTTTGCTAATACTTGTCATTCTCAATGAATTAAATTACGTGTAACACTGAAACCTGCATGTATTTGGGACCGATACAAACTTCAGAATCTAATCCAAAACTATTGAAGCATATGAGAATGTGTAACCCAAATCTTTATTAAAGTTTGGGCAACTAACTCCAAATTACAGAGAGAAGGTTATGCCTCATTTACCATGATACCTAGTAAACAAAAGTTGTTGTCGTTTCAGCTCACTTTTTCCTTTTCCTTCTGGCTTAATTCTGATCCCAGTGTGGTTGATAGGAGCAAACTTGGAACCAGACATTCAGCCACACCTATTATCAGAGTGCTTTTATTGTTATAGTAAAAATTAAGCATCCAAGTGTTAGATCTGGAGACTAAGAAATTCCTCTTAAAATGCAAAGGGTAAGAATTCTTTTATTGAAATATGTCTTGCTTGATATTTAGCAATTTTATTTGAAAATATACAAAATGAAAAAACTATGTATTTGCAGAATTTGACACTGACATATTATTCTAAGCATTCTACTATTTTCTTAGTAGAAAGCAAAAGAATCCTCATGTGTCTATGAAGCAATATAAAGTTACATGGTTAACTTCTGTGGGTTTTTTTTCTCAGGAGTCTCTGGTTTGTGCAAATAGAAGCCCAGAAACAGTTCCAGGTGAAAAGGTTCTGCGGGACAATAAAGAAAAACGTGATCAACAGAATCGTCTGAAAGAAATTGATTATCAGCTGGAATCCCTAGGGAGAAGGCTTGTAAGTTTCCTATTTTTGTTGTATTTTTCTTCTTTCTTTGGTCTGGGAACAATTGAGTATCATTTCATGTGCCTTAAAATAAAATCAAGTTTTATAACCTTATGTAAATTTCTGAAGGAATCCCCAATTAAATATGTAGGCAAAAGTCTCAAATAATTACTCTTAATCTGGGAAATCTTTTTTTGTCAGTTGTAATGTATACTTACCTTTAGTATAGGGTTTTTCAAAGTTAAGGATGTTATCCTCCTCTCTTCTTCCCCAGAGGTGCATAAACAATAATATATAAATACACCCTAAAAGGACTTTTAATGGCTCATGTACTTCAGTGTTCTGTGAAGGACCAGGCCTGATGGGAATGCTATATACAAGAAATTGTTGTGGTAATCTTTATTTTCACTATATTGAAAGAAACATAGCATTGTTATGTCTGTGCCTTGTAGAAATTTGTTTCTTGTGTGTAGCTGATTTTAGAGTTTTTTACTTAGTAAGAAAAACATAAATATTTAAGTTTATTGTGACAGACCAAAAATCTATGTAGTCTACCTTTTTTCTTGGAGGTCTTTATTCGGCAGTAGGCTTACTGTCCACAATAATCAGAATTAGGAAAAGTATTGTTCCTGTTATCTTTTATCACCCTCAAAAAGGGATCTCCAGTGCAGGTCAAAAGCTTTCTGATTCAGGTGGCAGCATAACCACAGTGGTGTAATCTCAATTACTTATAGCAGCGTTGCTGTAGTTGCATATGCTTCAGCCACTCAACATAAGCAAGGTTTATTCTGTCAGTGCTGGAGCATGTTTGAAGCATGGGAACAAAGACTTTGGACAAGGAAACAGTGATTGTTTTAGAGGCTGTTCACTTGTGTGTGTGTGTGTTTACAGTAAGGAAGTATATTTAATTTGTATTTATTCACAGTACCAAAACCATAGTAGCACTTCATTTTAATACAGTAGAACTTCATTTTAATACACTATTCTGTTATATTAAACAGTTAAAAGAGAGAGACAGATAAGCAGGGCTAATCTGTGAGCTTCAGTGTATTGAATAGCCTAATGGATAATCAGATAAAGTAAGTCTGCATATTGACATATTATTCTACTTGTTGACCTTTATATCACTTTTTGTCACTACTGACCTTGCTCATGAGGCAAGGACAATCTGAGGAAGTGCGTCTGGGGATTGTATGATAGCCTACAGCAGGCCTGGGAAGGGCAGTGGGCTGCTGACTCATTCAAATATTTTGTGTATAAATGGGTCAGTTCCAAATCTTGTTTGGGTTATAGCAGTTTTGTTTGGTATCACATTACATGCAGACTCTTGCAATATGCCACCCATTTTTCCTTGACTAGATTTTGTGTATTTAAAACTCTAAATTGATAGACTGTAGTGCCAGTTTACACTGTTTGTAAATATAGAATGTCACCTGCACCAATGTGTGGCATTGCTGCCTGCTGTGCAGCACCTGGCAGGGCTTCTTTGGGGGACCCACTGTCTTCTGATGAGTTGATGCCCTGTAGCATGACTGAGATCATAGCATATGGATGTGAAATATGTGTGTAGTGGGTCCTTTTTGAGGTGCTTCAGTTGTCAATGAAGATAAAGAAGTTTTCAGGTCTGAATGCAAGTAAGTTTTTCCTTTTAATAGTACAGTTAAATATATAGAAAGGATGCACTTTCTTCTGTGAAAAAAGAACAGCCTTAAAAAAAGAGTGCACTGCTTTTTTTTTTTCCTTTTCAATGCAACACACATCATTGAATTTTTTTTTTTTTTTCTTAAATCAGATAACTTATATGCAGTTTTGTTTGGACCTTGTTTCTATTCCAAAGTAATATGTTGGTAAATATAGTCTCTGCCAAGACACTGCATGATGAAAAACTAAGCTGAAAGCTTGGGTTGAGGAAGGGAATACATAGCCTGTATGTTTCCAGAATAATTTAATGATTTCTGGAAATGCTGGTTTTTATTCAGTAGGTGGCACTCTTCACTGTATGTCAGAAGAGGAATGCCGAAGCATGGATCTAGGGGATATTTGGGCTGGTAATGAAGTTGTCATTTCTGCTTCATAAAATGCATGTCGTGAGAGATTTGCCTCTCACTTGTGGCAAGAATCCATGTATGCAGCTTCTAGCATTGTTATTTTGCTAGCTTTCTTTAAAATTGTGTATTTTAAATCCACATTTTTAAAATTCATGTTTCATTTCAATTTCTCCTTTACTCTTTCCTAAACTACTGTAATTTGCTATGTAAAATTGTAAGTAAATTCTCAGCTCTGAGTAGAGGAGGTGATTTGCCAGCAGTTAGGAGTGTTATTTCTGAATGCACGGTTATGTGTCATAGTTGTGAAATACAATATTTTACAAACTTAGTAAGAGAGAACTTACATGAAAATTTGAAAGTCCCTTGGACAAAATACATTTTGTTTTTACTTCGTAGGTGGAAATTACGAATAGTTTAACTAAACAGAATTTAGCTCTGTGTGTTAGGGCATTACTTGCAGTAGGTATAAAGGAACTCTATTAGCTTTTTTTGGTATGTATGGTAAAATGCTGTACTTTTTCACTACAGTAGAATGTATTATTTAAATTTATTTGTATAATGGCAATGACCTACTCTTCAAGGGGAATGAATACGTTAATTATATTTCTGGAGGAGAATATTTAGTAGGTGTTGGTTTCTGAAATGATAACATTTATGGATTCCTCCACTACAGTTAATGTTATGTGCCTGTAAGTAATGCTATATGCTGTAAGACTTCATGGTCTCAGCTGAATCTGGGAGTAAACTCACAAAACAAAGTTGGAAGATAAAACTTCAATCTAATTCACGTTTGATATAAATGCATAAAATCTGCTGAATGTTTCACTTGAATTAGTGAAACTAATGGCTCTGGAATCTGAGTTCCTCCTTTACTTTGAAAAAAAATTGTCCCTAGTGAATTAATATACCAAAGAATGTATTGTATGCATTGTTGAAATGCATTGTGAAATTTCAATCCAACTGAAATGTATCTGTACCGTGGTATCTGGGCCCTTGCTGAATTTCTTTTAGGTTTCAGTTTGACCTTAGTTCACTTGTTCTTCATTTGAAACCATGTCTGACTCTCTCCACATTCTTTCATCTTTCAGTTTCCTGGAAACCACTGAGCTTATCTTTGTTTTGTGGATTGCATTGTTAACTGCTGCTTCAAAAAAATACCCAGTTCAGCTGCCAAATGCGTGTTGCTGAGCATTAACGAAAAGAATTTTATATAGAAAGAATAATAAATGTAGTTATTTTTCAATTGTAGCTTTGTCTCATTGGCCGTTTGTGATAATCCAGTGGCACGTTTGCTGATGTGTTGAATTTCTTCATGGCAGACAGTAGGTTTAAATGCACATCAAAGCAAGCTATTATGTAAGGTGGTTTCACCTTTGCTGGCTATACGTGTGTTGATTTCTAATGTATTACACTGGAAGCTTATTAATTCCTGCCAAAAGTCTACCTGCACATCTCTTTTGGGGTTTTGGTTAAATACATAAAACCAAAAATACTTCAAATGCATATTGAATGCATATATGTAATAGTGTGTACACACAGATATAAGTATAAATGCCAGCTACCTGTCAGCATGACCAAGACACTGATACCTACTTGAAAAAAAAAGTGTCCTCTTACTTCTAGTAAGTGCTTTTAAAAAAGAAGCTAGATATAGTTGCCCTAGTCTTATATTTAAATTTATTAGATGTCTGTACCCCTCTAGGAATTATTTTTCTCACAAGTTCATGCAATCTCGTGGCCAAATGTATTGTGTGATTGTTAATTATTAAGGGTCTTTTTAATATCAAGTGGTATTAGGAAAATACACATTTGGTTATTGAAATAACTGAAATTTGCAGGAAGGTGAGCAACTGGTGAGGATGATGAAGAAAAATAATAAATGTGACATTGCTGTCAGGAGCTTTGATTTCCTCCAGGAGCTTACTCCAAAAAGCATAAATCTTATCTTTTTGATGCAGAATAAAGTATATCTGTGGGGACATCTCAGGATGCAATTAATTGTTGTTAGGTCCTGGAGAAGGTCTTGCATCATTTACTGTTCATCAGGGTGATGATGGGGTTTGTTGTTACACAGTCTTGTTCCAGTTTTCGCCTTGATACTGATTGAATTCAGTGCATCTGGTCCTGCATCTGTATTAGGCAACTTCCAGAAAAGAAGAATAATTTCTTCCTGACCTCTGCCATAGTTCCTTTCTTCCCTTTTAAAGGGAAAATGAGAGTAACATAAAGCCCTATCACATATCTGGAAAGTAATTTATCAACCAGACAATACTGCAATATGTTGTTGTATCACAGTCTCTCCAGAAATTAACAATTGATACTTTTGAACACAGAAACAAAGCCCTATTTTTAACTGCTCTGTGCATTGGTAGTCATTGTAGGCTGTAGCAGATAAATAGCAAATATCTTTATTTTAATTCATATAGTATTATGTGGTGTCTGGTTTCTAAATAAGCATGTGTTTGTTAAGAAAATAGAAATTGTTTAATAAAGCATTTTCATAACACATTGCACCAAATAAAGGGAAAAGGGACAGCCTATCTAAATAAAGCTGAGATATGTCACTTTCTATGTCATTTCTTCAAAAAGTATCTACCAGGTGCTAAAATTGCTTGTCAAGCTGTTAACAAGCTTCAAACAGATCCTGTTTATTCAGGTTTTACAAGACTACATTCTAGTTACGTGATTGTACGGAGTTATTTCAGAATGAAATGTGGTAGCATTTCCACCTGGGAAAATATCAGTGTGAAAATCTTATTTTCTTTTAGCAGCTACTACATACAATAAGAGAGCAATAACATTAATAGTCGATTGGCAAAATGTAAGTATTTCACTCATGATTTAAATAAATTTACAGTGTGTTGATTTTCACTGTACTGTGGATAAGAGTGAAGTGGCTGCTAAAAATATTTATAAAGAATATTTAAAAACTACATGTTGTAGTAAGAGTCAGTGAAATTAAAC